GTGAGTTCCAGGAAAGGCGCAAAGCTACACAGAGAAACCCTGTCTCAAAATAAATAAATAAATAAATAAATAAATAAATAAATAAATAGCCTGACAATTAAGAGTTTGTTGTGAAGAGAAGGAATGTTCAAAGGAGACTCATTCTGGTGTGGGCTGCTGTTCTCCTTAGAAGGCAATGCTGGGAAAGCAGGTCGTTGCCATGGGCACGCAGCTTTTGGGTAGGATGACAAGGATGACTTAGGGACTTCTCACCAGCTCCAAAATTACCAAAACCCTCTGCAAGCCTTCAAAGACTCACCTTAATCACGTTGGAAAGCTGTGGCTTTTCCATGATCTGTCCCCAGTGCCTGGTGCCACCTTTGTGTGTTAGCTTTATAGTAAGTTCCATTCTGAGCCAGGCATAGTGAGGCACGCCTTTAAGCCCAGTACCTAAGAGGCAGAGGCAGGTGGATCTCTCTGAGTTCAGGGCCACCCTGGTCTACATAGTGAGTTCGAGGACAGTCAGGCTACATAGTGAGACCCTGTCTCAAAAAACAAAAACAAAAAGACTCAGCATGTAGTTAGAAAATTTGAAACATGCTGAATAACAGTTGCACATCAAACATGAGCACAAGAATCCCTGTAAACTTTTGTGGTTACTGTGTTTAAGGATCATTTCTTTTTAGCTGGGCAGTGGTGGCACACACCTTTAGTCCCAGCACTCAGGAGGCAGAGGCAGGTGGATCTCTGTGAGTTCAAGGCTTGTCTGGCCTGCAAAGCAAATTATAGGACAGCCAAGGCTATTACACAGAGAAACCCTGTCTCAAAAACAAAGCAAAAAAAAAAAAAAAAAAAAAAAAGGATTTATTTTTATTCTATGTGTATGGGTATTTTGCCTGCATGTGTGTCTATGCACCGCATGTGTGAAGTACTCGTGGAGGCCAGAAGAGGGTGACAGACTCTCTGCAACTGGAGTTACAGGAGGTTGTGAGTTGCCATCTGGGTGCTGGGAACTGAGCATGGGTCCTCTGCAAGACCAACTGGTGCTCTTACCACTGAGCCATCTTGCCAGCCCTGTGTCTGTAAGTATTATTTGGAGAACCCATGTGCAACTTATATTGCATTTCTAGAACCCAAGTGTAATCGAGTGTGGACTCGTTGGGGGCATAGTACTGCCCCCACTCCAGCTCTGTGAGCACCAGTCGCCTCCTCTATAAAATAGACTAACAGTACTGAGTTATTATACATGATCAGTGTCACTATCGGGAAGTTGCAAGCCACAGTTCAAAAGACCCAGCTAGCTGTCTCCTGGCCAAGCATGTGATGCGTGTCTAGGTGGGAATTCTGTTGCCTGCCCACTCTAATGTGATCACACCTTCCATTGCTAGGGGACACCCCCTTCCAGTGCTGGCTCTGTAGCGCCAAGTTCAAAATCAGCTCAGACTTGAAGCGGCACATGATCGTGCACTCGGGGGAGAAGCCTTTCAAGTGCGAGTTCTGTGACGTGCGCTGCACCATGAAGGCGAACCTCAAGTCGCACATCCGCATCAAGCACACCTTCAAGTGTCTGCACTGTGCCTTCCAGGGCCGCGACCGGGCCGACCTGCTGGAGCACAGTCGACTGCATCAGGCCGACCACCCCGAGAAGTGTCCCGAGTGCAGCTACTCCTGCTCCAGCCCGGCTGCCCTGCGCGTGCACCGCAGGGTCCACTGCAAGGACCGGCCCTTCAAGTGTGACTTCTGCAGCTTTGACACAAAGCGGCCCAGCAGCCTGGCCAAGCACATCGACAAGGTGCACCGGGAAGGGGCCAAGACAGAGAACAGGGCCCCGCCGGGCAAGGATGGGGGGCCCGGGGACAGCAGCCCCCACCACGCGGCCAAGATCGTCGCCCAGAAGGCCTTCCAGTGCGACAAGTGTGGCGCCTCCTTCGTCAGGGACGACTCTCTGAGGTGTCATCGGAAGCAGCACAGCGACTGGGCTGAGAATAAGAACTCAAACCTGGTCACTTTCCCCTCCGAAAGCCTTGCCTCGGGCCAGCTCAGCCCCTTGGTCTCCGTGGGGCAGCTGGAGAGCCCCCTGGAGCCCAGCCGTGACCTCTAGAGCAGCGTGAGTGGTCTCTCAGGAATCTGAACAAAGCGGACATGGTGCCGTGCGGCCGACCTTGCCTTCTCTTCTGGAGCTGGCAGCCCCGGCCTCCCCGGGCGTTCAGCAGCGGAGCAGCTGACCCCGGGGGTCTAGGCGCCAAAGTGAGTCCACAGGGACGATTGCCGCGGCCTCCCTGTAAGCGTTCTCTGACGGACTGCGCTGTGATCTGGGTCATTCAAAGGTGGGGGCCCCCTTGGGGAGAGTTGCCTCGTGTGGGTTGTGATTTGAAAACTGCCCCGTCTCTGGTGGAGTTATTAAGCTGGTAAACCCAGAGCACTGCCCTGAACTGAGCTGTGGGGGGGAAAGGCATCGGTGCTCTGGTATGTGGTGAAGTTCTTTCTTAACCGGGGTAGTGGCTGTTAGTGTTCGCCTTATACATTTGTGTGGTGTCTTTTCTCTGTTTCTGTTTTGTTTTTGTTTTTTGCAATAAAAAAGTGAACTTCTCTATAGAGGGATGTGAGGTCTTCGCAGTTGTCCGTAGACAGGCTGTGGTAGGTTTCTGCTCCCTACCCCCCCACCTAGTCCGTTATTGATGGCAAAGGCTCCTGGGGTTTCCCAGTGACTTAGTCCATACTCCCTGCCCCCCGCCCAAGTGCAGCAAAATGCAGCTTGAACCGATGGTGGCGCCCAAGATCAAGCTAGCCCCAACAGCCTGCCCCCCCCCCATGTCACAGAATTCGAAATGCAAATGAAAAAAGCAAAGTCTGGGGCCCAGTGAGTCCTGGATGGGGTTCTGGGATGAGTGGAGCAGCCCGAGACTGGTGTCTTTCACGTCTTACAGAGTACCCTGTGTTTGCACGAGTGAAAACCTAACTCGGTCCTCCCTCAGGTCCATTAACGAAGCTCAGAGTCTGGATCGACCTGTCAGTCATCCAGAACACTTGGTGTTTTCTGCCCCAGCCGGTTTTCTTCAAGCGCGGCCTTTGTTTAATATAAGTGTTTATGTGATCTGGGCATGGTGGGGTTGGGCTTCTATAATCCCAGCACTTGGGAGGTGGAGGCAGGCAGATCAAGAGTTCAAGACCAACTGGACTACATGAACCCTTGTGAAACAAATCAAAAATGGGCCTCATTAGCTACGTGGTTAGACTTTTGGAATTGGGCTAAACAGATCTAGTATTGGGAAAAGGGGTGGGATGAGAAATTTCTGTAGACTGAAAGAAGAACAATCAGGAAACACCAAGAGGTGGCCTGGGGGTGTGGCTCAGTGGCAGAGCCTCTGTCAGGAATCTCAGCAGTGAGGGGCAGGGGCCGCTCAGTGGCAGAGCCCGTACTTAGCCCGAAACAGCTTGTTCTAGGACAGTGACTGATTTGTGATGCGTTCTGCAAGACCGGGTGGGGATGGCACATGGCTGACAGCGTGTCCGGAAGACGAGATCAGAAGGCTCCATGGACGACTCTCCAGCCATCTCGGGTGTTGTGAGCATCTCACTGCTGTGTGAATGTCCGGCCCCTGTGTGGACTCCTGCTGCTTTCTCCCGCCCTTTGCCCTTGATCTCATTTGCATTTCTGGAAAGAGGAAGCTGTTGACTGTTCAAGTAGCAGCTCACAGACACAGCATGGCCTTCAACTGCACGGGAAAGAGGTCAATCTTGTCCAAGGCAGTTTGAGCTAACAGTTGTGTGGACTCCAAGGGCCTTAGACCCAACCTGATATCACTTAGCAAGTTTGGTTTTGTTTTTGTTTTTGAGACAGGGTCTCTCTATGTAGCCCTGGCTGTACTGGAACTCACTATATAGACAGGGCTGGCCTTGAACTCACAGAGCCCTGCCCCCACCCCTGCCCCTGTACAGGGATTAAAGACACCACCACACCTGGTTCTCTTAGCAAATTTGGATTCACAGTACCCAGGCGTTGACTACTTTAGGCATTTGGGGTCTACAAAGGCTCCCTGGCGACCCTGTGGCTCTGCAATTGCTTTTCAGACTTTAAATTTATACGTATAGTGTCTTGTCTGCATGTATGTCTGTGTACCACATGTGTGCCAGGGGCCTGTGGAGGTCAGAAGAAGGCGTCAGTTCCCCTGGAACTGGAGTTAACGGATGGTAGTGGGCTGCCATGTGGGTGCTGGGAGCCAAATGCGGGTCCTCTGGGAGGGTAGCAAGTGCTCTTAACTGCTGAGTCCGCTCTGCAGCCACAGCCCTGCAGCCTTAACACAAAAGCAATCCAAGGAGGCAAGGCAGAGAATGAGTGAGCCATGCAGTGAAATGCCGTGGAAACAGACATTTCAACCCTGCCGTCCAACCCCCCCAGCACAGCCATCTGAGCTAAGTCAACAAAAATGACCTGCAGAACGAAATAAGAGAGGCCGGACTCCCCGGCATTCATGAGTAGGATTGACAGGGAATAGCCCAGTGTGCTGGTATTCTTTTTTAATACATTCTTTAAAAGGAGCTTCATCTGGGTGTGGTGTTGCAGGCTGTAATCTCATCATTTGACAGGCTAAGGGACAAAAAATAATGAGACCAGGCTAGCCTGGGCTACATACATTCTGTTTCTAAAAAAAAAGGAGGAGGAGGAGGACGTGTAGAATAATTGGGTTGAAGAGCACCTGCCTGGTGTGCTCAAAATCCTGGGTCCCGGCTTGAGCACCACACACACCAGACAAGGTTGTGTGCTGGAATCCAGCAGTGAGGAGCTGGAGACAGGAGGATTAGTAGTTCAAGGCACTCATCACATAGCCAGACTGAGGCCAGCCTGGGGTGCCAGAGCATACTGATCCATACCTATAATCCTAGCATTGGATGGAAGGGTTCTGAGTTCCAGGCCAGCCTGGGCTACAGAGCAGGGCCCTGTCTCAATGGGGGAAGGACCAAAAGAAGGGATATAGAAGCTTGGAAGCGCTTCGGGAAGAGCTGCTCTATGCCAGCTCAGGTCCGGCTGCCTGCTTGAAGCCTGGCTTCTCTATTGCCCGCCTCAGCTGTGAAGCCTCGCAGGCCGAGCTAGGAGCTGGTAGTGCACCAACTCGCTCCTTCGCTGGGGGTTCCTGTCCGCCTTGTGGACAGTGTCCAAGAAGGAAGCAGTGTCAACACTCAGTGCCATCATGAGTTACCTTGGCTGCCCCTGTGCTCCTGGATCCTCTCAAGAACTGGACCCAGGAGAAGGGGCCATCATCAGGTGCAAGGTGAGGGGCAGCAACCCAGGCTCCGAGAAAGAATACTGACGGTAGGCTGCTGTTGTCCGGGGTTTCTTCGTCCTCGCCTCCTCCCTCTCTTCCTCCTCCTCCTCTTCTTCTTTTTCAGGCTCCCATATTCATGTGTCTCAGGCTCCAGAGCCACATCCCAAGCCCTGAGAGTGTGTATCGTTAATGCAGTTGCCCATGGAGGCCAGAAGAGGGCATCAGATCCCCTATCGCTGGAGTTACGGGCCATTCGTTGTAGGAGCTCAGAATCAAACTCAGATTCTCTGAGAGAGCAGCAAGAGCTCCTTAACCACCCAGGCACCCAGCCGTCTCTCTAGCCCCGAGCAATATTTCCTAAGCATGAGTGAACAGCAGCCCCGTGAGTCACCACTTTGCTCCTGTCCCAGGGTTTGCTGGAAATTTGGATAAGATGGGTTCTGCAAATGTACACTTGGGCCTGTGTGTAAAGTGTGTAGAGGTGGTTTATGTAGGGTTGGCGCTCTCTCTCTCTCTCTCTCTCTCTCTCTCTCTCTCTCTCTCTCTGTGTGTGTGTGTGTGTGTGTGTGTGTGTGTGTACATGTCCATGCAGATGTACATGTGTGACCAGAGGTCAGCCATGGATGTTATTAGTCCTCAGATGCCATCCATCTTTTGAGGCAAGGTCCCTCACTGGTGTGAAGCCCAGTGCTTAGGCTAGGCTGGCCATCCCGCCCTAGAGACCTCCTGCTTCTGACCAGACTCCTCCCATCCCTCACCACCAACACCAACACTCCTGGCTTGTTGTTTTCCCGAATTGTCTTAGATAGCCCAGCCTTGAACTTCCTATGTAGCCCCAAGGTCAGTCTTGAACTCTTGATCCTCCTGCCTCCACTTCCCAAGTAGAGTAAGAAATATCCCGCCGCCCCCCCCCATCTCATTTGTATTTATTTCATTTGTACACTTGTGAGAGACGGAGAATGTCACGAACGCAGTGCCATGGGGGCCAGAAGAGGTCATCAGACCTCCTGGGGGTGGGGTTTCGGGCATTTGCGATCCACCTGACGTGGGTGCAGAGACCTGAGCCTGGGTCCTTGGAAGAGTGTGTGAGGCGTCCACTGAGAGTCCTTACAGCAGCACACTCCTGTCGTCTTTGACGTGGGGTCTAGGGACAGAGCTCGGGTCCCCACGCAGCTGTCCCTTTCCCAACCGGACCATCTCCCCAGCCCCTAATCTTGGTTTTTAGCAGGTTTGTGTTACAAGGTTTGTCCTGTTCTCTGAGATTTCAGCCCCACCTTACCCTGTGCCGAAGAAGCGGGGCTCAGCCAACACCCAGCCCCTCCCGGCTCTTATTCACAGGGCATGCACTCTCCACCTGTGTGGAGCTGGATTCTGTCCCTGCCCAGAGCTTCCTTCCCAGCTCGTCTCCACTTCCAGTAGTGGGTCCATAGAGTGACAGATCTGGGTAGGTGGTGACAAAACCGGTCCAAAGTTTTTCTTTTTAAAAATACTCGACAGAAGTGTGTATGTCCAGCCCGTCCAGTGTGACAGCCTGGCCTACCTGAGCGCCTATGTGACCCGGGACCAAGAGCGGTCAGCCATGGCACCCTGCTGCACCTTCCACGCTGGACCCTCCTTCATCTCATAGCTGAGCATTGGCACCCTTGGACCAACAGCTGCTTCCCCTCAGGCCCTGGGAATCCCTGCTCTGCTCGGCTTTCCCGGAAGCCACCTGCTACGATAAGCTAATGGTTGAGTGTTGGAAACCCTGCCTCTAGCTGGCTGAGACTTCACCTCTGGCTCTGGGCTCTGTCTGCCTTCTTCCTGTGTCCACATCTTCAACACCAGGCCCTGGGTGACAACCTAAACTCTAGGTAGGATGGGATGTGTGCCCCTTCCCCTGAAGACAGCTGGAAAATTGCCTTTGGTCATTGTGCTGCAAAGGATGCTGGGAGGCTGCTCCCAGTGGTATATTAAAACCTGGAAGAGACTCTGGATGATGACTGTCACCTGCACTCTGAAGGCAATGTAGGCTTGTTAACCTTGGAAATGGCCTTCTCCTTTGTGTATCTGGGTGTACATATGCATGTGCTTGTACCTGGGGAGAGGTGTGCACGTGTGTGCACATGCACCCGGAAGCCAGGGCTCAACCTTAGGTCTTAGTCCTCAGCTGGTGTCTGTCCTATTTTTTTTTTTATTTATTTATTTTATTTTATTTTTTTGGTTTTTCGAGACAGGGTTTCTCTGTGTAGCTTTGTGCCTTTCCTGGAACTCTTTTTGGAGACCAGGCTGGCCTCAAACTCACAGAGATCCGCCTGCCTTTGCCTCCCGAGTGCTGGGATTAAAGGTGTG